TCAGCCTCAGCCCATTTTCCTGCATCCATTGCAGTACAGCCTCCAGGCCACGCTGAAGGGACGGAACGGCATCCACTGTGGTTGGAGAAAAGATGTGGAGCTGGATGTCATCAGCGTACTGATGCCATGAAGCCCCAAACCCCCTGCCATGATGACCCCAATCAGCGGCATCATATAGATATTAAACAGCATTGAGGAGATAATTGAGATTCCACGGGGCTCAAACACACTCCCCAAGCTATACTCTCTGAGGACGGTCCTACAAGAAGGATTGGAGCCAGGCAAGCGCCAGACCACTGATTCTCAACTCGGAGAGCCTCCCCAGGAGGATACCGTGGTAGGTATTGAAGGCAGCTGAGATATCGAGTTGGAAAAGGAGAACAAATACAGAACCCATTCATTTCTGAAACATTAAGGATATGGAGAAAACATAGTAAAACATTGCCCCCCCCCAGTATCCCCTTTATGTCCCCTCATGGATCACCCATATTTTAAGTCTAAAGAGAAATATGCACAATTTAAGGAGTGGAAGCAAATTGGAATATATAGAATTAATGACTTATTCGATTCAGGGGAACCAATTACTATTAGGCAAATAGAAGAGAAAAGAAAGCAAATAAAAAGCAATTGGCTACAAATAAAACAAATAAGTTTCGTTACTCACTTACAACAAAAAACTGGCTTTCTAAGAATATTAAGTGAATTTGAACAATATTGTATTCAAAAAGATAAAAATAAAAAGATAGGACTAACCTCACTAATATATAAAAGCATATAAAAGAGGATCTAAAACAATGTGGGAAACAAAGTTAAATATTAATATACCTGAGGAAATTTGGACAGGAATTTGGAAAAAATACCCATATAAATCTGTATCAGCAAGTGCAAAAGAAATGGATCTAAAGGTAGTGCATCGGTGGCATCTATACCCTACAAAGCTACATAGAATAAATAAAGATATATCTGATAAATGTTGGAGGAACTGTGGACAAAAAGGAACTCTGCAACATATGTGGATCAGTTGCCCCAAAATAGAAGCTTTTTGGCAGGAGGTAATTAGATGGATAGAGACACTGACTAATCAAAAAATAGATATTAATGAAACATTATTGTTATTTTCATTATTCACAGGGGGAAATGAGAAACTAGAATATAAAGAATTAATTGCAAATCTTATAGGCACCACAAGATCTGAAATCGCTAAAAATTGGAAAAAAGCCCAAGATCTATCATTGCAAGCATTTACAAGTAAAATATGGCATACATTACTGATGGAAAAAATGACTAATAAAGTAAGATTACATAGAGGAGAAATAAGCCACAGTAAATTCACTGAAAATTGGAAGCCATTATTAAAATATGCCGACAAAATAGACTTTGAGACATGTGGATTGAAAAGAAATTTAGATTGTTGGTCAATATTTCTTTAAAAGGTGATGGAGAATGGTGTATATGTGATTTGGAGAATTGTGGGGAATATTTACTATTTGTAATATGGTCGATTGTCTTTTCATTCTTTAGAAATAAAATTAGAAAGAAGTAAAAAAAAAAGAGGACGGTCCTCCAAGAAAAGTCAGAGCCAAGCAAGCACCAGACCACCGATTCCCAGCTCGGAAAGCCTCCCCAGGAGGATACCATGGCTGATGATAATGAAGGTGGCTCAGATATCAAGGAGGACCAACAAAGACATTTTGAACCTGTCAGCCTCCCTCTGCGGGTCATCAAACAGGATGACCATCACCGTTTCCATACCATGGTGCGGCCTGAAGCCCAAATGCAATGGATCCAGGGCACTGGTTTCATCCAAAAGACTCTGGAGCTGGTCAGCCACCACCCTCTCGACCACTTTACTGATGAAAGAAACATTGGTGACAGGCCTATAATTGCCAATGTTGTCCGCCGCCAAACATCGCTTCTTCCTTATAAGCCTAATGAATGTCTCCTTGACACTCCATCTGATTTTGCAGATGGAGAGACCCATTAATTATTGCTGTGGCCCATTTGTTTGTTGTAGGCGTGGCTGCTTTGATTAGCCAGGCCAGGCAAGGGTCAATGGAGGAGGAGGTGGCATGACAACAATCAAGCACTTTGTCCACCATATCTGGTGTCATAGGCTGAAAGAGTCTCATCGGGCAAGGTGGAGCGCTGGACATCTCTGCTCGATCTACTGTGTTCAAAAAAGGAGAGAGCTCCCAGTGGATGACCTCCACTTTAGATGTTTAAAATGCTGCAAAGTGGTCAGGTGAAATACTAGTAGGAGGCCCATCACTTAGATCAATTCTGGATAGATTGTGAACTATACGGAAAAGTTCCGCCTGCTGATTTGAAGCATCGCTTATTCAGACAGTGAAGTGAGCTTGACTGGCACCCCTCACCTTAGTAAGGTAATAGTTAGTTGCGATCCTGACAGTTATCCAATTATAATCCGTTGGGTTCCATCTCCAATTGCACTCTAGCCTTCTCCTGTTTTGATTCATAGCTCGTAGCTCCTGGTTAAACCAGGGCACTGGCCAAACTCTGCAATGGGGAGGACATTTAGGAACGATCGTGTCAAGAGCCCTGGTGGTGCAGCAAGCAAGCCATCAACCAGAGCCTCGAGAGCAGCGCCAGTCAGATCAGCTGGAATCCCTCTCATGGAATCCTGGAATCCTATAAGATCCAGTAGCCTTCGAGGGCGGAGCATTAAAATAAGTCTTTGCCCTCTGCAGGGAGGGCGAGCTACTGAGAGGTTACATTTTATTAGGTGGTGATCTTACCATGATAAGGGAACTAATACAAGGTCAGTTACCATCAGACCACACTCACTCTGCCCAGTGGAGAACATCAGGTCTAGTGTGTGACCACTCACGTGGGTGGGGCCATTAACATGTTGCGACGTGTCTATGGAAACCATGGTTTCCAAGAACTCAAGAGCTGGGCTGGAAACCTCTGCCTCCGCATAGATGTTGAAATCACCCAAGACCAGAAGCCTCGGGGATTCCAACAGTGTTGCAGAGACAAAGTCCGTGAGCTTCGATAAGGAAATGGCTGGGTCGTGGGGAGCCATTATATTCTTGGGTTTGTATGCTGCAACCATCTTCTTCAAATCCCACCAGAGATTTTCTATGGGCTTCAAGTCAGGTGACTGTGATGGCCAATGTAGAATCTTCCTGGACTTCTTCTGCAACCAAGCCTTGGTGGAATTTGAGATATGCTTGGGACCATTGTCTTGTTGGAAGGTCCAAAGATGTCTAAGCTTCAGCTTCCTCACAGATGGCATGAAGTTTTTTCTTAGGATTCCCTGATATTTCAATGAATCCATCTTGCAGGTTTCTAGTGCCAGAGGATGCAAAGCAGCCCTAGAGCACTACTGAACCACCACCATGCTTAACTGTAGGCAGTTCTTCTTCCAGACACATTGCTGATCCGTAGGGCTGAAAAGTTCCAGTTTTGTTTCACCGCTCCATAGAATAGAATCCCAATACTTCTGTGGCATATTTATATGATTTTGAACATACTGGAGCTGACGTTTCTTGTACTTTTGGATGTCAGCAGTGGTGCATTTAGTACACTCCTTACTGTGCAAGCTGAAACCTCAGTGTCTGTTGCCACCTAGTCTTGCTTGCACGGCTTTTGCAGTCACTCCAGAGTTTTTCTCAACCTGCCTTCTCAGAAACTGGCCTGGAGCCATTACTAGATTCTTTTTTCTGCCCCATCTGGGTAATGTACCCACTGTTCCTTTAACTTTGAACTTGCAAACTATGCTTCCAACAATGTCTCTAGGAATATCCAGTGCCCTCACTATCTTTTTGTACTGTGTTCCTTGCTTGTGAAGGCCGATGATCTCTTCTCTTAATGTTTTGGGCCTTTTTTTTTAAAACTTAGACATATTTCTAACATGCAGTAAAATGCGATACTCACCAAAGCCCTAGTCAGTTCAGGTATTTCGTGTGTTTCAGCTGAAGCACATCTGGTACAACTAATGCGAGTCCCTGATTCGTTGCATCATGTGTGCTTGAGACAACACCTATTTTGCATATTTGGACTGTTGTGAGGGATTCTGTTCAGGGAGTTGAATAATTCTGAGACTGCAGAAAAGTTGCATTTTCATTTGAATTTGGGGAAATCACTTGAGGCATTTGTTGTGTTGAGCTATTTCAATTGCTTTTTTTGAATTCTTTATTGCAAACAGCTGAAAGTCTGTAAATTTTGACAATAAGCCTGATTTGCAATGGAGATTGAGTAATTTTGATTATACAGTGGTGCCTCGCTTAATGATTACCTCGTTAAATGACAAATCTGCTATACGATGGTTTTTTGCCATCGCTATAGCAATCGCATAATGATGTTCCTATGGGGAAAATTTGCTTAACATTGATCGGTTCCCTGCTTCGGGAACCGATTTTTTGCTTAACGACGATCAAAAACAGCTGATTGTCGGGTTTCAAAATGGCCACCCGCTGTGCAAAATGGCTCCCCGCTGTGCTTTAGGACGGATTCCTCGTATTACAGGCACCGGAAAATGGCCACCCTATGGAGGATCTTTGCTGGACGCTGAGGTACTTCGCCCATTGGAACGCAATGAACTGTTTTCAATGCATTTCAAATGTTCAATGCATTTCAATTGGTTTTTTAATTTCTCTTGACAAGGATTTCGCTTAACAGCCATTTTAACAGAACACATTATTGTCCTCAAGTGAGGCACCACTGTAACTGTACATCCAAGAGCCAATCTGTTTCCATATCTCTGACACAGTGGATGTGTCCACGAAAGCACACATTAAAATATAATAGTTAGTCTTTAAGGTGCCACAGGTTTTTGCCTTTTTTGGTTTCTTTGGATTTGGCCTGATACACAATATTTAGTTGTTGGAAACATTTGTACAAGATGTTAATAGCTACTCACTTAAATGGGTTTAAAAGATAATTAATCAAACACAAAAAGAATTGGTCTATGAAATGCTGTTACGTCATGATGGTGTGTATACTTTAAATCACTGTGGAAACAATACTACAGAATAACTATTGATCAATTTTCCATCAAATAGCAAAATAATTACATAAAGCTAGCCAATTACAGATAACTAGTAGAGGGATAATCCAGGCTGTCCCCAACTGTGTAACAATGCACAGATAATCTACATATATGGTAGCTGATACAATAAGATCCCCCATATACATTGGGGATTACTTCCAAGCCCCCACAGATACTAAAAACCATGGATAACAGCAAATACTATGTATATTGTATGGTAAAAAGAAAAAAACAGGAAAAAATTATACAGTGGTGCCTCGCTTGATGAGGATAATCCGTTCCGTTGAAATCGCTGTTAAGCGAAATCCTCATCAAGCGAAATTAAAAAACCCATTGAAATGCATTGAAAACCAGTTCAATGCATTCCAATGGGCTAAATGCCGCATCATCCAGCGAAGATCCTCCAGAGGGCGGCCATTTTCTGGTGCCTGGAAAGCGAAGAATCCATCCTAAAGCACAGCAGGGAGCCATTTTGCACAGCGGGCAGCCATTTTAGAGCCGCCGATCAGCTGTTTTAAAATCGTGGTCTAGCGAAAAATCGGGTCCCGAAGCAGGGAACCAATCATAGTTAAGCAATTTTCCCCCACAGGAACATCGTTTTGTGATTGTAACAGCGATTGCAAAAACTTCATCGTAAAGTGGTTTTGTCGTTTAATGATGTAATCGTTAAGTGAGGCAACACTGTATCCTAATACATTAACAGAACTGTCCACTAGAGGATGGCAGAGGCTATGGTACTGTATTTTTCCATGTATAAGACAATAGGTAAAGGTAAAGGTTGCCCTTGACATTTAGTCCAGTCATGTCCAACTCTAGGGCATGGTGCTCATCTCCGTTTCCAAGCCATAGAGCGAGTGTTTTTGTCCGAAGATAGTTTCCGTAGTCATGAGGCCAGCACGACTAGGCACGGAACGCCTTTACCTTCCCACTGAGGTGGTACCTAATTATCTACTCGCATTTACATGCTTTCAAACTGCTAAGTTGGTAGGAGCTGGGACAAGTGATAGGAGCTCACTCCGTCATGTGGATTTGATCTTACGACTGCTGGTCTTCTGACTCTGCAGCACAGAGGCTTCTGCGGTTTAATCCACAGTGCCACCATGTCCTGCTCTTAGACTATACTTTTGTCTCAAATCTTTAGACTAAAAATTGAGGGTCATCTTATACATGGAAGTAAGTCGAGGAGAGAACCATGCAATTGCAAAACTGTCCATAGCTTGACTCTGCAAACAGGATTCTCTCAACCATGAGTCTTAGCTGCCTCCAATCAGGAGGCTTAACTTCCTCCAATCATGAGCCTTATGTAACCGACGTCAGCTGATGCTGAACAAACCAATTGGAAAACACCTTGTTGGAGATGGAGCACATAGGCAGTGCTCAGATGCAACAGGGACTGGTAATGTCCAAGCGTTCTAAACCAGAGGCTGAATAAAGTGATATGCTCAAATCAAAGTGTGATGTATAATATGACACTACTAGTATGTAAATGTTACCTAATGACTAAGTAAAAGTGTATTCTGTTTTATGTTTAAAATATTGATTTCTTAATGTGTGGTTAGAAAAATTTTAAACATGGGGGCATCTTATACACAGAAAAAACGTGGCATGTATTTTTCACTAGCAAGTATTCATGGCATGCTCTCTGACTTATTCTAGTGACCAATTCTGGTAATACATGTGGAAATATCTTTTTTTTCCCAGGATTTTTTTTTCTTTTAATATTTTTAATATTTTCTGATGATGGATAGTGAACCAGTGGATTGTAATCCTGTGGATAAGGAGGTCCTACAGTATAATGAACCTGCTGCATTATGAACATCTCTGTGACCTGGCAAGGCGTGATCCAGAGACAGCTTGGATTATCCCCAAGAATTAAGTGTCTGTAGTTGCTTCATACATCATTTTAAGTGTCAGAATAATCAATTATAAAAGATGACTAGCACGAAAAGTCACCAACGTAAGTAGAAGATATTACTGTTTCTCATTTCCAGAGTGTTTCACACTCAATTTGTAAAACAAAATTCCATATATTTCTAAAAATATAGTAGTCAGTAAACAACATTATATTAATATATACACATTTAAACAGTTTATATAGTCAGTACCTTCAACATGGCTTCCATTATATATAAACTCAGAAAATAATAGTTGCATATCTTAAGTTGTGGAAGAAATTCCATATTCACAGTTGGTATCAAGCGAAGAAGAATAGGAATGAAGTTCAAATATGTTATCAGGGAACTTGTATGTTCAAAAGTGTCGTTATACACAATTAATTGACATAACTTCAGAAACCTGTTTCTGTGGAAGAGAAAAAAAATTCTCACTTTAAGTAATTTATCAGAAAGCCAGTTAGAAAATCTGCTAGTTTGTTTCTCTTTTATCCATAATATACATAAGCACTGATAACTCTTGATACTATCCCCCCCCCCAATTGGCTAGAGTACATCAACTGGAAATGTCACTGTCTCTGGCAAGAAAGCATAGGGAAGTTCCAGTAAAGGCTGCCAGCAACTCTCATGCTCAGAAATGGTCCTTAAGAAATGCCAGCGTTGAGGGGATGGTGACAATAAGAGTGGTGGAAATGGAGCAGGTAAAGAAGGAAGGAGTGACTGTAATCCAGTTGCCAAACACAGTAAGTTGCAATTAGAGTAGGCCCACTGAATAAATGGAACATACAGAACAGTTAACTCAAAAAATCCCGAATGATTCAATGGGACTCCTCAAACTGTGATTTCTTATACTAAGCAACAGGATGTAGGGGAAAGGAGCTCACCAAGGTAAAAAAAATCCTTGTATAAATCTGAAGAACACAAACCAGTTTGCAAAACAGGAAAAAAATGTTTTTATTGAATACTAGACTGGTCTCCTCCTGCAAATACAGCTAGGGATGGGATTTTTTTTTTTTAAAAAAAGGTTTGGATTACAACCTCCCATGGCATAGTGGTTAAATTGCAATACAGCAGTCAAGGCTCTGCTGACAATCTGAGTTCAATCCTAATGGTTTCAGGAAGCCAGCTCAAGATTAACTCAGCCTTCCATCCTTCCAACCCTGGGGAAATGACTGCCCAGCTTGCTGTGGGACAAAGTATCCTTTGCATAATTATGTTATAAACCACCCACAGACTGCTTCAAGCACTGTGAGGTGGTATATACGTTGAAACAATAAAGAAATACAAATCCCCAAATTCACCATTCTGGGAGTTCTACCTGACAGAGAGTTTTCAAACACCTAAATGTGGATCTCCTAGGACAGTGGTGGCGAACCTTTTTGAGCTTGTGTGCCCAAACTGCGGGGGGAGGGGGGAACAGAGGGTGGTGTGCAGCCACCAGAACAGCAGCGGACCTGGAAGACCCAGAACCGGAAGTGGTAGTGGAAGGGGGAATCCCGACATGGAGGTGCCTCAAGGCCCATCCGCTGCCACCGCCAGTTGCTCCAGATCTGCCTGCCGAAGCACTAGCACTAGCTGCAGCTGCCTCCTGAGGTTTGGCTGCATAGGGCCGCGGGGGGGAGTAGTGATCTGGCGACCTATGGCTCACGTGCCAGCAGAAAGGGCTCCATGTGCCAGCTGTGGCACACGTGCCATAGGTTTGCCATCGCTGTCCTATGAGAAAGGCCTAAGCTGAAAGATTTTGAGTCCACCCAAGCTTCCTGCTCCTCTGCAAGTGCTACCTGGGAGCTTTCTTTATGAACAGGAAGTTAGGTGGAACAAGGCCTCAAAGACATATACTTTAGGCCTTTCTCCTAGGTAAACCACATTTCGGTATCTCTAAGGTGTCTATCAGAACTCCCAGTAGGCAGAGTTATAGGACTTGTAGTCCAAAATCCAAAATTTATTTCCCTATATATTGCTACAGCTGTACGTTACAGACTATTATGCTACACTGCTGCAGCTGTCATCTTTGCAAAGGGCAGCCTGGATTCCCTTAAGGCAGGCTAAGGGAATCCTGGTTGCCCTTTGCAAAAAATGGCGGCTACAATGTCCCTGCCCTAAAAGAAGCTGCAGCTGCCCTCTTTGCAAAGGGCAACCAGTGTCCCTTATGGCAGGCTGTGGCTGCGGAGGCCACCGCAACGGGCGGCAATGGATAGTGGCAGCAGCAGGCAACAGTAGATGATGGCAGCGATGGGTGGTGGTGGATGGCAGCAGCCAAGGTAGAGAGGGAAAAGGGATAGTCTGTGTGGGTGGGTGTCTGTGGGGCTGTCTGGCTGCCTATCAGGAAAGCCATAGGAAGAAAAATATGTGGGACAAATAAAAATGGGGAAATATTCATCCCTTTGTGTTCGTTGCGGGACTCTGGAACTGATAAATATGAAGGGATGAATATGTAACGAATCAGCCATTTTTCATTTTTTATTCGTCACCATGTCTAATCCTATTTACATGAACCATATCTGATCAATTTTCTGCTCTTTCCCCCCACATGACTGCCTGTGGAATAAACTACCTGCCCGTTTAAACCTTCCTGATAGCTGGATCCTGATTTTGGAGATTTTGCCCACTTCTGGCCCTTCAGATCTTCGCTTGATGTTTTAGGATTTAACCACTGACTATCTGGAACTAGTCTTCTTTTCTCTAGCCTTACAAGACTAACAAACTGGTTTCCCATGGACCTTGATCAATCACTTTCAGAACAACACACAACATAATTAGTAATCTTACCATAAGAAAAAATCTGTCATTTTTATTTTTTATAAATGTGGTACCTTTTGATTAGATCACATTTTAGTAAACATTATATACTAACTCTGATGTCCTTGATGTTTCAGGCTTCACATTGTAAGCCCAGTCAGAAAGATATTTCTTCATCGACATCAGTAATCCTTTGTCTTCCCAGTATTTTTTTACTTCATGAATATTCATGAACCTGAAGTTTAAAACAACATATTAAGAATGCAACGAATCTAAAGAAAAGAAGACATCGGCTGAAGCCCTAGAATGGACGGTTGTGGTCTTCCCACGGGGACAAGGTCAGCCAGACCCTTCCTTCAATCATCCACCCCCGGAAGGAGATTGAGCCTTGTTGTGGGACAATATGTGCAGTTTGGAGGGGTCCATTGAGGAAGCCCACAAATGAGGAATGTTTTGGGCCAGTCCCTCAATGAACCTTGTCAATTTACAGACAGAGTTATCGTCCTCACAATTGGGACAGTTACCAGATCTTAGTTGTTTTGAACTGATAGAAGTTGTTGTAGATTCACCCAATGTCAAATTAAATAAACCTGTTAACATTCAAAAAGAGACTCAGTCGTCATTTCCTGCCAAAAAAGGAACTGTTTCAGATCTTTAACAAACCCAATCACAGTCAAGTTTCAGGAATGAAAATTTGCACCATAGATTATGCTAGAGCCAAACAATCAGACTGGTGACACTGAACCTTATGAATACTTGCTTTATATCACCACTTGACTGAACATTTAAAGAGATTTGATGAGTTTACTATATATAATAAATTGGATAGGTATTTGTATGAAATAAAGGAGGAAAGATAAACCAAGCTGATCAACTGAACACTGAAACAAATTTGCTTTCAAAGTAGAACCAAAGTAATTATTGTTTTTCTATGTTGATCAGATTAACATAGATATTCCTCTAGAAACTGTTAGTGAAGATAAAAGGAACACCACATGTTTATTAATTTAGTAAGCTCTGAACACAGCATGAATTCATGCACAAACAGGAAATGATTACTTTTTGAAGTAAAACTAAAAACCGGCATCTATACATTGTAAGTTTAGAATATTAAGGCTCAGAAGAGGCACAGTTAAATAGTAATAGCAATCATTCAACAACAAAAATAATGCAACTTTTAAAAAATGGCTTTGTTCAAACCGATACACTTACTTTCCTGGAACATCATAATAGCATTCCGCTGCACCTATTAATGTCTGCGTTGCCTTTTGGCTCAGCATTCCACTGTTGTATTGCTTCTGATAACTGGCCTACATTACAAAAAATAAATATTTGATGAATAAATAGATATAATTATTAATTTGTCTATTCATATAGCAACAATTGTGTAACAAAATGTATCCATGCAAAGTACTTACTTGCCAGTAACTCCACATAAACACAACCACACCTATCATTTGACTATGAACTTACCACTCATATTGATTTATTCCACTTTAGTTAGTTAAGTTTTATTATATGGTCATAGACCTGAAAATTCAAAGATAAAAATATAATACGAAATATACAGAAAAAGTAAGTTGTTATAACATAACGACAGTATAAAACTTGTCTTAATATAACATTTTACAAATTCTTAAAATTGAGAATAAAAACTAAGCTACTGACTGTTATTAATTGGTTCTCTCCCGACAGCAGAAACTTCAGGTAGTCTGTGGGAGATATACTAGTACATTTACACATTATTGGGTAGAGATATTGGATATGTTCAAACCTACCGTATTTGCCAGCATATAAGATGACTTTTTTGCCCTGAAAAACATGCCTCCAAGTGTGTGTGTGGGGGGTTATCTTATATGCTGGGTGCACCCAGAGCGGGCAACATGTAGTGCAAGGAGGAAAGAGGAGAGGTGAACAAGGAAGAGGAGGAGGAGGAAGAAGAGGAGGCGGCAGTGGCATCTTGGAATAGGAGTCGCAGAGAATTTGATAGAACATTTTCAACTGAGGGATTGAGACCATTTATCCAAATCGCAATGCCATACTGGAGCTGCACAAGAATTTTATACTTAACTATCTGTAGAGCACCAGGGATGAACTGCCTACCCTGGACATAGTGGTATCGTCTAAGAACTTTGCTTGTATAATTAGCCACCTGCACTCCTGCTTGTCTACGGTGAGACCAGGATAGGGTATGTGAAAAGACAACTCCCAAGTATTTAAATGTTTTAACTTGCTTTATATGCTGGCCCTCAATAACCCATTCTTTAACTTTACTATGCCTAGATAAAACCATTATTTCGGTTTTCTTGAAATTAACTGTTAATAGGTTGTTCCTGCTGAGGAGGAAGAAGAGGAGGAGGAGGAGGCGGAGGCATCTTGGAATAGGAGTCGCAGAGAATTTCATAGAACATTTTCAACTGAGGGATTGAGACCATTTATCCAAATCACAATGCCATACAGGAGCTGCACAAGAATTTTATACTTAACTCTCTGTAGAGCACCAGGGATGAATTGCCTACCCTGGACATAGTGGTATCGTCTAAGAACTTTGCTTGTATAATTAGCCACCTGCACTGCTGCTTGTCTATGGTGAGACCAGGATAGGGTACGTGAAAAGACAACTCCCAAGTATTTAAATGTTTTAACTTGCTTTATATGCTGGCCCTCAATAACCCATTCTTTAACTTTACTATGCCTAGATAAAACCATTATTTTGGTTTTCTTGAAATTAATTGTTAATAGGTTGTTCCTGCAGTAACTCATACATGCACATAGAATTCATTTAAGACCAACTTCCGATAGCGACATGATAACTGCGTCATCTGTGTATAGTAGTAAGGGCGCACTGATTTTAGCCAGTTTCGGGGAATGAAATTCAGGTGCTGAGCAGCTTTTAGGAAGGTCATTTAGGTACAGATTAAATAATGTAGGCAACAGAATACAAACCTGGCGAACCCCTCTCTATGTCTGAGTGGAATCTGATAGATTACCATCGACTCTACATCTTGTCCTAATTGTGGTCTGCTGGTAGAGGCTTCAGATAAGATATAATAGCCTCTTATCAATTGAGGAAGAGTAGAGTTTTTCCCATAAATTTCCTCTGGGTATTAAGTCAAAGACAGGCTTTAAATCTATAAAAGCTGTAACCGGAACGGATTAACCTCGCTATACGGGGCACCACTGTACTTCTCTGCAAGGTGATTCACTACTATACAGTGGTTAAAGGTGTAGGAGTTCTTCCTAAAATCAGCCTGTTCATTCCCTAAGATATCCTCCTGCTCAATCCATGTGATTAATCTATTATTAAGATATCTAGCATAAAGCTTGCCCACTATTGATAGAAAGCTGATTGGTCTATAATTTGAGGGTTCATCTTTGTTCCCCTTCTTATAGATTAGTATCACTATTACCTCTAACCAGGAGTATAGAAGTTGCCCAGTGTTATTAATGAATGTAAATAGATGAGATAAAAGGTGGGCCCACCAATCTACATTGGTTTTTAAAGACTCTGCTGGTATTAGATCGGGTCCCAGTGCCTTCCCTGATTTTAGATGGCCTTATTTCATTTTTGGTTACTGGGTCCCAGTTTGGCAATTTGTTTAGGTCTAGGGATATGATGTTAACAGTTTGTGAGGGTTTAGTTTCCTCAGATATTTGGATGAAGTACTGTTCCCATATATTCACTGGGATACTACAACAAGCTGATCCTGTTTGGGTGCCCAGTGCCTCAGAGACCAAAGCCCTGAAGAGAGCCTCTTAACACATGCATGACATGTATCTGTAAAAGAGGGGGAACATGGAAGTTTCATGTCCTTTGTATTTGAAACGGCCTGATAGATTTTCCATCTAGGAGCATTGTTAGGGCTATTCCAATGACTTGGTGGCATGATCAGGGAGGGCTCCCAACAGCCAATGAGAACATCCAGCAAGAGGGAGCGGAACATCAAACCCTGCTTTCACACTTTAACTCCTTTTCACTCTTTGTTGTGTGAAATAAGCTGACAAACCTTCAATACTTTATGTGAGGACTATTGCAAAGGTTCCGGTTCCAGCAGGGTGCGCGTTCTCTCGCTTGCGTTACTGCTCTTTTGTTTTTATTCAACCCTTTTAACTTTTATATATACATGTTTTTTTTTCTTTTTTAAACTACACTTAACTCCCTCTGAATAGCTTCTAAACAGCTCTTGAAGAAGCTTTTGAAGCCAAACATTTAGGGAGCCAAAACAACCTTTGGAAATTCCTGCTGTTTTTATCAACACTACAAGGAAAGGGAGAGAAGAAACAGCTGTACTGCTGACCTACTGCTCTGAATTGTGATCTGCTTATCCTCCGTCAAGTCAACAGAAGAATTTTTCTTCAGGCAGAGGTTGGTCGAGGCGGCGGTGGGCCATTGCTTTCTCCTTTGAGATAAAAGGCCACCAGGGAAGGCAAGCGAAGGGGGGACAATTTATAACAGCTGTTATTCAAGTTTTTAAGTTCAAGATTCTGCCCCAACTGTTATATGGAATACCAACTTGGATCCTAGGATTTCACACAAGTATAGAAAGTGTTCTTTCAATTTTCCTAAGATCAATTCTGGGAATGCCAAGATGCATCCCTGCAGCTGCCTTACGATTAGAGACTAGTCTAACATCACTAGAATGCAGTGCTTGGCTCTTTGCTTTTAGATATTGGAACAAGGTAATACATGCTGATCCCTCTATGGGATATCTTAACCTTCTACAGAAAGATGTCCATAACAGCTCATGGCTTAAAGCTTTTCCAGCCAAACTGCACCTATTAGGGCTCTCTTTGGACTTTCTTTATGTGCAGGAATCCAAGGCAGCCAACTCTTAGAAAAGCAGATCAGGGAAATTGACTTCTAGTATTCTATTTCAATGGCTCGCAAAACATCCTCCATCTTCTTGGCCTAATTTCTCCCAAAGTGCTAGGTATTTAGAGAATTTGATTATCCCAAAATACAGGCACATCTTCTCAAGAGCCCGATTTAACTGTCTCCAATCCGCAATTTTAGATGGGCAATATTCTGGCACCCCTTACGAAAAAAGATTGTGCCCTTGTAAGGATAGAGAAATTGAAACTTTGAAGAATGTTCCTTTTTAGTGTAATTTTTACAGAAATGAGCATATCAAATTCCTCAAGCCCATAATGAATGTCTTTCCATGTAGGACTCTGATTTGGTATACAAAATATTTATTAAGCAACACAAACAAGATAACCACCGAATCAGTGGCCAAATTCCTTCTCTCTGCTCAAAGAATACGGAAAAACAATCTTGACCTCTACCTAACCCCGTCATAAAAAACAAAAACAAAAACAAAAAACCAATGTATGGGTAATCTATTTTATCAACTTTCACTGTTTTAGCTGTCTTGAAATGTTTTAATTGTTTCCATTTATTTTAAATATTACATGTATGTATTTTAATGGGCCGGAGACCCCAAAATAAAGATTGATTGATTGTATATAATATTATAAAAAACAACGTATGGGTAATCTATCTTATTACTGTATACTCTTTGAACTGTCTTGAAATGTTTTAATTGGTTCCACTTATTTTAAATATTACATGTATTATTTTAATGGGTTGGAAACAGCAAAATAAAGATTGATTGATTGACTGTTGCAAAGACTGTTGCAAAGACTAAACCAGGAGGGCTGTCAGCAGCCAATCAGAATTTACAGGAAAGGGGAATTTTTAATCTGTCGAAGGAGCTGCAACTCAGTGAGCAGTGTTACTTTTACTTCAGTCTTTTCCCTTCTGTACGAGATTACTGTGTACAGGGCTGTTGCTGCCCTCCATCCCAGTTCTCTGACTGCCTCTATCTTTCCTTTCCCCCCCTTGAGTCCCCTCCCCACACAATTTCTTTAGATTTCTCTCTCTCTCTCTCTCTCTCTCTCTCTCTCTCTGTGTGTGTGTGTGTGTGTGAGAGAGAGAGAGAGAGACAGTAAGCCAGGCTGTGTCAGAATGGGATTCTCTCTTTTTTTTAGAGAGTACCCTCCCTCCTCCAATTTCTTTGAGGACTTCCCCTCTCTTAACCACTTTGCTTTGCTTTCTTTTGCTTTGTGAGGCAAATATTTTTGAAGAAGAGGTGCTCTACCCCTCCTTCCCCCTTCCTCAGGCACCAGCCAGAGGCTAAGCATTGCCCCCCACCCACATGCTTAACTCAACGCAGTAACTCCACTTCCCCCTGGCCTCTTCCTCACAACACCCACCTGCCCGCTAACAGAGGAAGTGGAACTCTGCTGATGGATGGGGAATGGGTGTTGTGGAAACCCAGGGCACTTCCCGTGAAAGTGCTCGGCAGTCCACAGGGGCTGGCTGTGCAGGCGCTAGGCTTTCTACAGCAGCAAGACTCCCCTGTGTCACGCATATACCTTACCTCTCATCCTTCTCAGGCCTAAACCTCAGGGCTATGTAGGATGTAAGGATTCCGCGGCACACCTTCTGAGGTTTGCTAACACACCGGAGCTCAGCGGCGCACACTTTGGGAAGCCCTGACCTTTGTGGACTGTCACTATGAGTACCTGTAGCTCCAAATTTACCATGACATGAGTCAGGAATCATAATTATTAAGAAAAACTCTGCTCTCATTGGGTGATTAACTCTCCATAGTAAGTTAGCATTAACACATTGGTCCTTTAATGATCCTAGGAGGCTCATTAAAATTTGTAACAGCGGCACACGTCAGAGAACATGGACTTTCACCTCATTGTTAAATATGTATCTCAAAATGAAAAAAAATCTTAGGTGTTAGATTTTTTTTCTTGAAGCCTCACACATTCAAATATGTTAAGTATTTAAATTTCTAAGCTTAGAAGAAAGACAAAAAAGGAAAAAAATACAAACTATTTGTGCAGTCAAGAGACGCAACCTGGCTTCTTCCATTATGTCAGCCATCTGCTGAGAATTCTCAAGTGGAGTATTAACATTACAGTTTGGACATCTAAATGTTTTCATCAGTTGCTTAACTACTGAATCTATCTGCAGAGAGGAAAAACAAGAAAATAAAAGTACTTTCACTAGAAGTCTCAACATTAAACCCACAATAGTGGCATTAAAATTATAGTTAGCTGATGCCACCATTATTCAACTTTGTTTTGGTGCTTACTTGTTTTAACAATGTCCCTGGCTGGTTCTGTGAACTCCAGAAGAGCTATTTAATTATTATTATAAATAGAAAAAGGGTTGCCATAAGATTAAAGTAGAGTGAGATGAAAAGCGATCTATCTCCTGCTTGTTGTCTCAGATAAGACTGGTTGTCCTAGCACCATGACTGCCAAATGACTCCTGTGGTTCCTGAATATCACAATACTACTTCTGCCATCTTGATTTAATTGTTTGAAAGGACTTTCCTTGTTTGTGTCTGAGACCTGAATAACTCTTATGACTTCACATCTTAATCTTCTGCTATTAAAGGTTGGGTTAAGAGAGGTCTGGACAACCTGTGGTCCTCCAGATGTCCTTAATCTGTAACTCTCTTCAGCTCTAGCCAGCAGAATAATTACTGAGAGGTGCCAACATCATCAGGAGGACCAAAAGTTGCTCACCCTTGTTTAAACAATGAGAGAAATCACAGAATCATCCAATTATGTTTCTGCTGATGAAGCCCAATAATGTATTCGCGAAGGCTTTCACGGCCGGGATCTAATGGTTGTTGTGGGTTTTTCGGGCTGTGCTGTCCTCTGAAGATGCCGGCCACACAGACTGGCGAAACGTTAGGAAGAACCACTTTCAGAACACGGCCAAGAAGCCCGAAAAACCCACAACAACCATTAAGCCCAATAATGTGTTTCAAAAAAAGAAAGAAAGAAAGAGAGAGAGAGAGAGAGAAAGCAGAACCATAGTTGTAATGATATAAAGAGAACAACATATATAAAGAAAACATCACAGATCTCCAGAATATTAAAAAATGACTACACCTGAAATAACACTTTTTAAGGATACATACCTAAAGAGAGCTGCATCTATCAGTGCTTTAGCCTTCTTTTGCTGAGGTATAACTCAAATACCTTCAGCTTCACTCACTCATTCTCTGCACTAATTTTTTTACATACTGCACGAGATTTTATTAATTTTCAATAGGAATAGGGGGTTGGGGTACAGATGGGGGGGGGGTAAAAAGGGGGGAAGGGTAAAATTCCAGAGAGTGAAAGAGTATTCTTACATCAACTTACATAGTTATATTAAAAAGGGAAATCATACAAAAAGAAGATAATACAATAATTTTTAGAATATCTATAGTTACTAATCTTCCATTTCCTTGGACCTTCTCTTTATTTTTTTATCTTAAAGCTTGTTGATGTTGTAAATTTAATATTATTCTACCAAGTTTATGTCCACCACTCTACATCAATGTTATAACCAATATTTTGTGCCCATTTTATCATTTAATCTTTCACCTCAAAGTATCCTTTTGCATTTTACATTTCCAGCATTTAAGAAATATTTTCAAACATTTTTAGACAATTTAATTGGATTCATATACCACCTATAGAACATTTTATATATTATTTTCTTATTCTGCCAAATTTGTATCCACGGCTCTACATCAATATTACAGCCAATATTTTTTGCCTATTTTATCTTTCACCCCATCATCTTCCTTTATATCAGTCTCTTATATGTAGTTGTGGCGGTCGCCCCACTTCACTCCTGTCAATCACATTCAGGGTCTCATTTACATGAGCCTATGAGAAGAGTGGAGGGGCGGAGTCACCAGAGAGATAAGAGGCTTGACAAGAGAGAGAAGGGCGTTTAGAGTAGTTGATGGTTGTTGAGAGTGGTGGAGAGAAATTGCAGAGAGATGCATAGTCAGGGAGATGATGAGATAATAGTAATAAGCTGGTTATGATCAATAAACATAGCAGGTGGGAGAGAAATTGCAGAGAGAGAGAGAGATACATAGTCAGGGAGATGATGAGATAATTAATAGTGATAAGCTGGTTATGATCAATAAATATAGTAGGTGGTTGTTGTTTATGTGGAAAGTATCTGACACTTGAATGATTTGATTATAAGAATTAAGTAACTAACATCTGTGATCATGAGCAACTTTAATACACCTTAATAAATAAATAATAAATAACTTTTGCTGATAGTAATCAGACAAATGTTTGTCTACAGTTCTTGGTACTGTGGATAAAAGAAAATCCACTGGTGGCAGCGATAAAACGAGGAACTGTCTCAAGTGGTCAGAAAGCATAGTATGCACTCCTTGTGTGGAGAAGCAGGTGGGGGCCACAAAGAAAACATCATAGTAGTTAAATCTGCTCCCAAAAGTTTCATCAACTCCACATACTGTCTCCTCCTCCGCCCCATCTGCCACAGCATATGTCCCAGGATCTCATTTCCCCTCTCCTCCATAGTAAAATCCCCATCCAGTGTGGTCCTTTTAGCTACTCATAGCTTAATGCCCATTGTTTGCTGCGCCTCTTCTGTAGACGTCTCCATAAGTGGGGCAAACCTTTAATAATCTTTTATTGAACTCTGTGGTGGGTTTTTAGATTAATCTGTTTGTTTTTTAATCATGTTGCAAGCCCTCTTAAGTCCTTCATGGGAGAAAGGAGGGATATAAATAAAAAAATAGACAAACATATTTATTTAACATTAAAATAACAAGACTCACTTCTTTAGGATCTTCAACTGAAATACATTTCTCAGCCAATGCCCAGTTCGCATCAGCTAAGAACTTGTCAAGCTTCAACATTGTAAAGTTATTGGCCTCCATTTGTTTAATACGCTGAAAAGCATTATGCAATGCCACACGCTTTGGAAGACTAACATTACAGAGTCCTATGAAAACAGAAAATAATTAATTATTCCCTGTAAGAAGTGTAAGGAAACAGCAAATACCTACAAGAACTACTCTGGGCATTTTTATTTGAAGGGTGAAATTTAAATAGTCCTAAGCTATGAGAGACATTCAAGTTTCACTTTCCTAGGGAAAACAGGAGTTATTCAAGAAACTAAATCAAACAGAAGCTTTACCTGCCTCGTGTATTCTCTTTTTGTTCCTGTACAGAACAGCACCACAAATATATACATGTTTTCCCTTTCTAGCAGATTTACACAACTACTATGTTTTAAAGGGAGAAACCAGAACTATTTGAAGAGCTTATTAATTTTGTTTCTCTTGCTCTTCAGCCAGAAAAGTCCAAGAGCAGTTTACAAAATATCAGCTATAAGATCAACCCCTTATCAGCTATAAGGTCAGAAACAACTGAAAACATGGATGTTTAGGCAGGCCTTCCCCCTTTCTACCTAATACCTTCTTTTTTGTTATAATATATCCCGTTTCTCGCCATCTTTGGGAAAAAAAATTTATTCTATCTTTTAATTTATGTAATTATTATTTGTGATGTGGTTTGTTTTTTGTTTATTTTTTAACTGCATGTTGTCAGCCGCCTAGAGTGGTCACAATTGACTAGATAGGCGGGGTATAAATGAAATAAATAAATAAAATAAATAAATAAACCCCAGCTTACTCTAGCAAGTATATCTTTATATATAACAGAAGACAGTACTCTGCAGGAAACATGTTTTTCTCTCACACATTTTCTCTTCTAGTCCTAAGGGGTTTTTCTCTTCATATCTCTAGGTATGTAAAACCTTTGTGGACTGCAGTCACTTTCACAGGTGTAATGACCACATCTAAAGAAGTGGCCAGCAAAATACAAGGTGTGAATATTAACATAAAATCAGAATGTATCTCACAATGCAGTAAATCTTCAAAAATTTGTTCCAGAGTACCGGTAAGTGAGACATAGAGAAAACAAGACTATTCACAATATTTTCTTATGAGTAGATTTTTTTCAGGTAAACATAATAGATTAGACCCAGTAAAGTCACGCAGTGGGCAGATTACAAATGCTTGTGATTTCAGACCTAACTGTCAGGTAGCTAAATTTGAAACAAGGGAGATAATATAGTTATGCCAATTCTATTTGAATTATAGAATAAATAGATATTAAAATATGATAATTTTTATTTTTCAAAACAAATTTTATTTAAAATATTCAAGACATTTAAAATGTTCAAGACTGAAGGTTTTCTTAAAATAAAATAGTAAAATTTTAAGCTGTAGTTTAATAATTTTTGCTAGACTTTCACTGTAGAACTAAACTGATATTGGTGGCATGAGAGGTCTCTCTCCTCCTCCCTCTGCATTCTTCCACACTGCAAACGCCTGGTGCAGAGAGATCAGCAATCCAGGTGAGGTTTTGAGGACACACTGGGAAGTGCAAGGAGGCAGGGTCTGTTTACAGAAGCAGTTCTGTCAGTGAAACAAGCCTACATAATCTTAGGGCAAATCTGTGCTATTCATTTGCATCTCCGTATGCAGTGCTGCAAGAGGGACGTGGTGGTGCTGCATGTTAAACTGCAAAAAGCCTCTGGGCTGCAAGGTCAAAAGATCAGCAGTTTGAATCCACGCAACAGAGTGAGCTCCCGTCACTTGTCCCAGCTCCTGCCAACCTAGCAGTTCAAAAGCATGTAAAAATGTGAGTAGATAAATAGGTACCACTACAGTGGAAAGGTAATAGCATTTCATGACCAGTTGCACTGGCCATGTGACCATGAAAACTGTCTACGGACAAACACTGGCTCTATGGCTTGGATGAGCACCGCCCCCTAGAGTTGGACACAACTGGACAAACTGTCAAGGGGAACCTTTACCTTTTTATTTATGCAGTGCTGCAAATGACAGTGATTGAAAAATCATGTGACAGCTACAGTGGTACCACCGTTTATGAATTTAATGCGTTCTCTGGAACATTTTGTATTGCAAAAAATTCATAAACCGAAAGGAGGTTTCCCATAGGAACACATTGAAAACCAATTAATCCATTCTGGATGTCAGAAAAACAAGTCAAAAAATGGTTTTTTTATCTGTTCAAAACTCTTGATAAAGTGCAGAACACACAGTAAAAGGCATGCAAACGACGAAGAACAGCTCCCTACCTTTCCACTGCCTGAAAAATGCACCAAAAAGTTCCAAAAAGTTCCAAAACCACTGCAAAAAAATTACAGAACTCGATGCAAAAATCACTCCAACATGTCTAATACCTCCACACTCGACACCATGTGCTACCCACAGACTCCAGCATGCACAGGGGCAGTGCTATAAACCTCCCAGGTGCAATGCCTCCTGGGGAAACTTACTTCATATTGAGAAAAAAAATCGTAAGCCCAGGCATTATTTTCAATGGATCTTCATTCGTAAACTAACAATTATGTTAACCAAGGTATTCGTAAACTGAGGTACCACTGTACATGGTTTTGAATTGCTATTTGTGTTTTGATGGGCAGAGTCAACCATCAGCTGATTGGTGCTGCCCGGCAAACTGAAGAAGCAATGGAACTGAATCTCCCGGCTTGGAAGAAGTCCCTATCTGCAATCACTGCTGGGGGATTTGACTCCAATGCGTCTTGCGGCTTCTGGGCGCTGATGGCCAGCCTTCCAGCTGCTTGGAAGAAGCTGTGCAGGGAATCCTCCAGGTGAAAGGAGGCTCCCGCCACCACTGCCCACATTGCCTGACAAAACAAAGTTAGTCATGGGTGATGAGCAATCAGATGGCAAGGGAATGGAGGGGAACGAGAATGAGAGGAAAAGGGATGAGAAAGGAAAGAGAGAACATGGGGTAAGGGTGGGAGGGACAGGCTATTGAGGGGTGGGTGGAGATGAGTTATGCAGGAGTGCTTTTATTTTATTTATTTGAATTCTTGCTCTCTGGTATAACGCTATATCACATAAGAGGGATTTTTTTTAAAAGCAGCAGTGGTGCTTACATATGTGGAAATGATTCCACATCTCCCCGTAACAAACTGACATCTGGCACAGGAGCAGAATAACTCGTTCCCCTGGTACGGTAGTCCACGCATGCAAGTACGCTATGTGTATGGTTAGATTTGTGTAGAGGTTATTTTTCAGCAGAACCTGATACAACATGGTTTTTATTGTCAGTGGAATTGCGTGCCTTAGCCACCAACTTTAGAACATATATAGAGTAAAAAAATATAAAAATAAAAAAATATTTGGCATAATTTCTCTTAAAAACACATCTGAGAAAAATTGATTTAAGATACAGTATTATAAAGCAACATATTACAGTTTTCTGTCTCTATAAGATAATACGGAAGTATAATCCAAATTGGTGGCAATGTTAAAAAAGAAATAACAACTTTTCTATTGCATATTGTTGTATATAGCTGCCCAGCTAGATGTAAGAAAGAAATTTGTTGATTTAGGGCTCTGTGCAAAAATACCCATTTTAAATCTCATCACTGCCATAGAGAATGAACACATTGTGCCTCAAAAAATCACTTGCAAAGCTTGTGAAACATTTCAGAAAGAAAAAAAATGCATTTGAAAGTACATTTGATAATTCACAAAATGAAAAATATGCATGTTTGGAAAATACATAAAAATATTCTTTGGTCAGCACAGAAGTAAAAATGAAAATGAGTACAAATATGCACTCAGGTGAAAATGTATGCATGAGAATGAACATGTTCCTGCCAGGAAGAAAGAGAGTGAGCCGTCCACTCAAACATCCACCACGGAGGGATATGAGACAGTTTGCACCCTTTTAGCAACAATGACCCAATTAGAAGTACAGGAGAAAAGAGCGGGAAAAGAGAGAAAGGAGGACAAGAACAGGGAGGAGCCAATAGTAGAGGGGTATTTAGTGACAGGGGCAGAGGAGAAGAAGGAGGGAGAGTTAGACTGGGAAATGGAGGCAGCGCAGGAGAAAGAGGAGAGAAAGAAAAAAGGTGGTGGTAAAGAAGAGGAAATTCCTTTAGGATGGGGATGGTTAGAGATGGAGGATTCATGGACTTGGGAAAAGGTCAGAATGAAGCTGCCAATTGTAGAGATTGAGAGAAGGCAGCAATACGGTATGCCTCAGTTGAAGGACAAGAGAGAGAGGAAAAGGGAAAGATTGGGAAAGAGGGAAAGAAGGGATACAGCTAGGGGAGGCAGAGCCTTTAGAATGGACTGTATATATATACCTGAAGGGGAAAGATCTCTGAAGGAAGGAAGTCAGACCGACCAGTCATTTGACCCATGGCACCCACAGAAAGAGAGTGGGCTTGGGTCCCCTGTTGTGGCACCATATGTCCCAACCTGAGGAACCTGATGAGAAAACCAACCAATAGAGAGCGCTTTGGAGTGAACCCCCATTGGTGAATTCTTTCATCACGCCCGAGTTAAAGGACAGTTATAGAAAACAAAATGTGTTAGAACAGCCCGTTGGTCCTACAGAGGTTATTGTTCACAGTTCTCCTATGTTAGAAAATAAAAATACTGTTTGTCAAAAACAGTCACCAGTGTTTTTTTTTGGGAGGGGGGAATGGAGGCTGGAGATTGCCCAACCTTGAACTCCCTCACAGTATGCACAAAAATTCACACAAGTTTCTATTTGTGAAATAAATGTTACAACCCATTTGGAAAAGGGACAGAAACAAACTAGCAGAAAATTGAGAAGCAAAATGATGCTGACAGATTTTCAGAACCCTAATTCCCGCCATCATCACAACATCTTTGCACAGCATTTTAAACAGCAATGAGAAAAACAGGTTGTTTTTCCTACCAGGTTTGGAACATCAATTTACTTAATTAAATTATACACATTTAGCATGTAACAATAGCTTACATCATAATCATCATTATGGCAATAATACGGGACAAACAGCACAACCCTATCTCTGTTTACTCAAAAGCATGTCCCAGACAATCCAGGAATGAGTACGTGGGATATCTGTCTATGTACTGAAGCTTAGACGGTGAAGCAAGCATAAAAGAGGGACAGAATAAACCATATGAATATGTGGCCTCTGACAAATAACATATCTGAGATAAGAAAAGGGGTTGACAAATTTATCTTCTGGGCAGAACAGGCAACTTTAATTGAAAAGCACATTTCATCATTCAACAACTAATTTTTAACTGGCTATAACTATTTAATTGTTCTGTAAACTATATTAGAGTATCAACAAATGTATTATTCTTCCAAAATAAATGAATATATTAAACATTTTACCTAAAGTCATAACCAGCTTTTCCACAGTGGTAGAATTAATTACCAAGGTTAGCAAAGATACTGCTACAGAATACAATAGTATCTGAAATATAAAAATGTGTGCAATTAGCATATAACAAATTCACTACTTTTTAAAAATGCTACAATATTTTGTTCATGCTTTTAATCCCCGCCTTGTATTAGGCTATTTTATGATACAATGATCTAAAGCATATTTATTCAGTCCCAGTGTGCTCACTAGTACTTACTACCCAGTAAATTCACTTACAAAAACTATCTAGTTATCTTTGAGAGATTAAAGCTACCGTATTTTTCGCTCCATAAGACGCACCTTTCCATAAGACGCACCAATTTTTAGGAGAAGAAAACAGGAAAATATAATCTGTTTTCTTCGCTCCATAAGACGCACAGACTTTCCACCCCCCTGTTTTGTGGGAAAAAAGTGCGTCTTATGGTGTGAAAAATACGGTATTTTCACCAAGACAATTATTTTTACTCTCTTTAACTTAAAATAATAGGTCAATAGCAGCAAAGTGCATATATAACTTCTGTATTACAGCAGTCAAGGCACATATTTGAATTTACATTTCCCTTAAGTGCATATCAAAAAAGTAAACATAAGTAAAATTGAAGGCATACATTAAAATGATCAATTGTGAGCATTAAAGTTATATAATACACTTTCCCATCCTTCCAAAAGCTTCCCCAGGGAAAAAAGAGCCCTAGGGAGACTCCAAAGCTGAAATAGGCAGACAGGAAACTTGGAATTAATTGAAATTAATTATTTCCAGTACCCTGATCCAGTAGAAGCGGAACAGTACCAACAGGACCTTGCCCATTATTGCAAGCTGTCCAAGTTCTAATGGAAAGTATTTTGTGGTGCCTTGGCGTTCCATAGGCTATAAGATCCACTGGCTTTATACAGTAGTCAATTTGCTGTGGCTGAAAACTGGCTAAACCAATCTGACGACTGCAATTATGTTTTGATGCATTGTGAACTGCCTAGAAAGTGTTAGCATCGATGGGGTTATGTAGAAGTTGGAATAATAAATAAATATAGATCAAAACAGCAGGCTGCACATATGGAATCTCCTTACGAGCATTCCCATGGGGGAACACTAGTGATGAGCACATTAACTTCAGTATTTACTATACCATTGGATCTAAAGCCTGGACAGTGGACAGTTAATAGCACCCTCAAATACTTCAAACACCATTTCTTGTGAAGAACCAGGGCCAACGTTCCCTCTGAGCTGTGAGGCCACGCATGGCTGCATTGGTACCACACAGCTGAGCCAGTGTTGCTACCCATTTGCTTCTGGTTGCGGCTGAAATTCCCTGTGTGTGGGGCAGGGGGCCTATCCAGGAACAGTAAAAAATTAGAGGGAACGTTGGCCAGGACCAACAGATTATCCAGCCTCAGAGTTATTTCAACCTTGCATGCTACCTTGAGTAGACTTGGCTGGGAGGGACCTTTCTGGGCTGGGGCAACTGTCAATCAATCTAGCAGTGACCTGCCTGTGATTTCAAAGGGAGCGGCCCCTCTCCGCTTAGAAGTCTTTTTATTCTGCTGGTAGTTAGTGCACACTTAGTACAGTATGAATGTAATCTGCAGATGTCTTCCGGAAGAAGGCTCTGAGATTGTTGAGGCCTATTGCTCTAAACAGTCATTGTTTTGTACAGTATACTGTTTTTGATTTCTTTAACTGAGAGTAAATGGAACCTTTTTATTCTTTCTCTGACCAGTATCTCAGAGTGAATTACTGAGACTGAAAGAGCCATTTGTTGAGACAATAAGGGTCATCTACTCTGGGGAGACTTCTGAAGTGTAACTCCCTGCACTTCTGCCATGCAGCTACAGGTTTTTAACCAAAATTCAATACTCTGCCAAAACTCATACTTTCATAGTATTGGTGGAAGGACACTATTTTTGTCATGAGATCACGGATGAACAATAAATGAGTGCTTTCGTAGAAACAATATCTAAGGCTTGGGAAGCAGACAGTTGACAGAACTGGCACTTTAGAATTAAGGACAAAATGAAGTGGACCAGATGTAAGTATTACCAGTGCAGACAGTTTCTCATCAAGAATGCAAAGCACAATTAAATTCTGTATGTGTCTATGCAAATATAAATCCTCTGGACCAGTGGTCTCCAGCCTTGGGTGTCCAGAGGTTCTTGGACTTCAACTCCCAGAAATCCTGGCTAGCAGAGGTGATGGTGAAGGCTTCTGGGAGTGGTAGTCCAAGAACATCTGGAGGCCCAAGTTTGGGGACCACTGCTCTGGACAACACTATCCTGCCACAAAGAACAGCTCAGTTCTTTATGCAGGATCTTACCATCCATTGGTCAGAAAAGTACAGGTAACTTGGAGCTGAACTTTTGCAACCTGTCTCCAGTATGGACTACTTGTTTTCCATCTCCAGTAGTCCCTCACTGCAATCCCTCAATCACAATGCATATACAGTGGTGCCTGGCATAATGAGTGCACCGTTTAACGAAGAATCCGCATACTGGTGCGGATTTCCCCATCGCTAATGCGAGGGCATCCTCGCATTGCGATGGGGGAACAGCTGTTCGGCAGTTCCAAAATGGCCGCCGGAACACTAAAAATGGCCGCCGGGACACCGAAAATGGCTGCCGGAACACTAAAAATGGCCACCGGGACACCCAAAATGGCCGCTGGACACCCAAAATGGCCGCCAGAACACTAAAAATGGTTACCGGGACACCCAAAATGGCCACTGCAACATGGGGAAACATCGGAGACCGGTGAGTTTTGGGCCCATTTGGAATGCATTAAACAAAGTTTAATGCGTTCCAATGGGTTTCCCCGTCCCACTTAACGATGTTTCCCAATACAGTGGGGCACCACTGTAGAATGCACCATATATATGTACGTATATGAAGTAATTTCCAAAGTATTTATGTTTACCATGTTCTTAATCTCAAGTTCAGCTGAATTTTCATTTGGGGTTTGGCTAACTTCCAGAGCCATGTTTAAAGTGAAAAGGCCTCTCACTCCGCTCCAAACAATGACAGCTCCCCAGCGCCAGTTAAATCCATAGCCAAAACGATTCAACAAAGGACTCAGTATAAAAGTAACTAAAGCCCTGAATAAAAATAGAATAATAATTAATGAGGATGTATTTATATATTGCATGTGTTAAAAATTTAAGCAAATGACTACCAAATGTATTAATTAAACAACAGATTCATATTATATCTGCCTTCATATAACAATCCTCTCTTTTGCCCCTTGACTTGTGTTAATATGTCTGAAGATACCAGAATGACCTGTGGGACAACTTCTAGAGATGGACTCCTGGAAGATTCTGATTCCACTTTCTTGTGTTTCAAGGAAAAACTCATCACTATAACTCTAATAAAATGAATTAGCTGAAAGGTTTTGCAAATTTTAGTGCTCTCTCATTTTATCCAAGATCATTTTCATAGATTTTTCTATATGCTGTGTTTTACAGTGCTTTAATAATTAGCAAGTCTGTGATGTCCCAGTCCAAATTAACAAAATGAGGTCCTTACAATACTCCACCATAATGCACAAGTCAAGGAGGCCACACTGCTACTTGCAATTTGAGGAAAGGCAAGTACCGTCTTTCTAGAAATATTATAGTTGCTTAAGAACAATTTAGTTAAATATCCATTTTTTATCTGTTTTTATTCTCCTAGAATAGTTTGTAAGCTGCTGAATGCTATCTTCCAGTGGAAATATGTGGTATGTATGTATGTATGTATGTATGTATGTATGTATGTATGTATGTATGTATGTATGTATGTATGTATGGTGTGTGTGTGTGTGTGTGTGTGTGTGTGTGTGTGTGTGTGTGTGTGTGTGTGTGTGTATGTATGTATGTATGTATGTATGTATGTATGTATGTATGTATGTATGTATGCATAAATAACAGCTTCAGTAGAAGGCAGTTTAAAAAAACCTCCCCATTATTTCAATAGCAAGAATACGCAACTTAAAGCTGTGCTTTCCATTTTCTGCACTAGACAATTTAAAACTATTTAAAATCATATATTTGAGGAGGTATATTCCATCTGACATATTGGATTGTTAACTTAAAAATCTTTAATGCGAAAGCCCACACCAAAACATTTATGAAGTCCGACAGTGGACATTCATACAAAAATAAGATAAAAGAACCATTTACAAAACCATTATTGATGCATCCTACATACTAATAGAAAATTAATTATGACAGTGGTATTAGCCATGCAGCTTGAGGGGATGATATAGGCCAGAGGATGTATGAGGGGATGCAGCTTTACTTGTTCTCCTAGATGGTGGTGGGCAACTGGGACTCTCCAAATATTGTTCAACTGCAGCTCTTGTGATGATGGTGATCACGGAACAAAGGAAGGCTAATTGCCTTAGAGAGAGAATAAAGGAGACGACAGCGGATGTCCAAGCCAGCGGAGCCTACTGACAATGCCTCCGAGAGCTCTTTTATTTACTTAGCCTGATTACATAGTACTGTATGTTGTTAGAATTCAGATAAGATACTAGTAACCTAATCACAACTAGGATTGGCTAAAATAACCCTTTGATCTTATGCTCTACCTCTAAGCAAAAGGGAAGAACAAGGGGTTACCCCGCCTGCTGGCAGCTGCCATTTCCTGCCAGGAGTGTTTGCACATCACTGGAACAGAATGCAGCTACAATCTTTAAGCAGAAGTTTCCCATACTGTGGTAACTCACAATGCTGCATGATAGGATTCTGGAAGCTTCAGTACAATGGCATTTGAATAGCCACTGTTGCCCACCCATGTCCTAACCCTCTCTTAGTTGCTTATAATGTCAGCACCCATAGTATCTTTCTCAACCATTTAGCCAGACTGGGCTTGTGAAAAATATTACAGTAGTTCAGGTCCTTCTGGGGAAGCAATCTTAGAATATGAGGCGGGGGAGGGCTTCTGTTGCACCACATAGCATAATTGCTGGAGTCAGCATTTAGAGTCTTAAAAAGTTGGGGGCCAAACTACTTTAAGGATTGCCTTCACCCGTATCAACCTCCTGATACTCCTAAGTTTTCACATACTGACTTTTGAAAACAACTATGTTTGTGGTCACCAGCCACAGGTCTTTTTCAGCAGTGACTCACTTTTAACAAATGCTTTGCTAACACGACCCCATCACCGGATATTGCTGAAAAACCCTAAAGACTTCTTGGCTGAAATCCTGTTGCTCGGCATAGTAAGCTGCAAGCAAAGTAGGCCAACTAAATCAACTGAACTTATGAAGGAATTGACTCATCAGATCTCTAGGGATTCAATGGGTTTAATCTAATTGGAATTCATTATGCTAAGCAATTGGATTCTCTACATTAATTCTCTACAGAACTTTTGGGAACATAATTTTCTTAGGTTGTTGAGTTTAAAAAAACTGTTTTAGAAATGGTAATTTATTGGAAAATCCTCTTGATCATTGCATCTTGAGCCAAAGCAGGGAGAGAACCAAGCACTCTCCCAGCACCTGAAGCTCTTGTACAGCTAGATTTGTTCTTCATTTATTTTTGGTTCTTAGTTGTTTTTTTATTGCGATGATCATTTTAAAGGACATTGTTAATTATTTTCTGTTTCACAGAATTTGTCATGGCTCTTTTTCTTTAAAATTTGCTCATTAATAAATAAATTATCCAAATTCTGATGTTTATGTACACAAAATAGCACTATCTACATATGACCTTTCCCATTCCGTATATGGTAAGTCTCTTTGTTAAAAATTCTCACTCCTCTTCTATCATCTTTTAGTTCTACTTCTAATCTGTCATGAACAATTTAAAGAATTTCATCAGTTATCAATTGAGGCTTTAAAATGATGGGTATAGTTGATTTGCCTTCTTCCCTAATAACTCAAATTCTAATTCACAATTCCTCTGGTTAAGTTTAATGATACAATCAGTTAAATTTAATGATACAAATCTTTTCTTTACATGGACTTTGGCTTCTTCAGAAATATTATTTAATTTATACTTAGGCTCTGTGATTGTTCAACTGTTCTTTAGCTTTACACTAATGTTTGACATTAACACTTTATGGTTGGTACCACAGCCAAATCCTTGTTTTCTTTTGGCAGACAGAACACAATTTCTCCATCTCCTACCTCTAATGGTATAGTATAATGATTTGAACACTGTTCATCTACTGGTGTCCATGTGTACAGATGTCAGCTGGGTAATCTGAAGCATGCATCTGCAATAAATTGTTGGCTTTACAAAATTCTATGAATAGCTCTCCTGTTTCATTTCTTACTCCCAGGTTAAACTCTCCAACAAAGTTTCATTCTTCTCTAAAACACTTATGTTTTAGTTACCCATTATTTGAACTACATATCCCATAATTCTCAATTCTGAGAGACAGAAACCTACAAACACCTAAATGTGACTTACATAGAAGAAAGGCTCAAACAAGAAGATTCTGTGGCACAGCTAGGCCTAGCTCCCTGTTCAAAAAGGAAGCTTCCCAGCTACAATTGAGGTATCTTTCTTTCTGAATATAAAACTCAGGAGGAACTATGCCTAGCTAGGCTATGAAGACATTTGGCTTGGGCCTCTTTCCCAGAAGAACCACATTTAGGTGTCTATAGGTGTATGTTCCTCAGATGGAGCTCCCAGAGTGTAGACTTATGGGACTTATAGTGTAAAATCAGCTCCACTCTAAATCTCGTGCTGTTGAATGCCAGGTCTGTATCCAACAAATCCCAGATTATTCAAGACCTTATTCTGGAGGAGGATGCAGACCTGGCATGCATAACCGAAACTTGGATGGGCGGGGAAAGGGGTGTTCCCTTGACTCTTGCCTGTCTTCCTGGTTATGCAGTCCAGCACCAGGGTAGACTGGAGGGGCAGGGAGGAGTAGCCATTGTTTATAGAAACACTCTGGGGGTCATTAGCTACTCTGTGGTGGTGAAGCCAGGTCTGGAGGCCCTCCATGTGTCATTTGGGGCCAGGGATGATATTGGGATCTTGCTGGGTTCCTGTACTCCCTGCGACCCAGCCATTTCCTTACCGGAGCTGGCGGACTTTGTCTCTGCGGCACTGTTGGAATCCCCAAGGCTTCTGGTCTTGGGTGATTTCAACATCCATGCAGAGGCAAAGATTTCTGGTCCAGCTCTTCAGTTCTTGGAAACCATGGCTTCCTTGGATATGTCCCAACAGGTTAATGGCCCCACCCACGTGGGTGGTCACATGCTAGACCTGGTGTTCTCCACTGGGTGGAGTGAGTGTGGTCCGACGGTAGCTGACCTTGTGTCAATTCCCTTGTCAATACTTGACAAGGGTGCAATACTTAACATGGCAAGTGAGCCTGGCTGTGTAAGGAAAGCTGAAAGCAAAACCACCAGGAGGCTATGCTCTGTAATGAGTTTAGCTTCCTAGCCAGATCAGCATAGGACATAGTGATTCCCAGCCTTCGGTTCCCATAGGTTCCTGGATTACAACTCCCAGAAGCTTTCACCACTACCTGTGCTTGACAGGATTTCTGGGATTTAAAACAATAATAGCAAAGTAACAAAACAAGTAACAAACAGCAAAGTAGCAAAACAGCTCAATGAGTGAGTTACTATAAACAAATGCAACAGAAGTTGTAAAAAAAAAATTAGTGCAGGGGCCTTAGGAATGAATCACATAATTATTATATTTTAAGGAGTAACTGGTGTTCCACCAATTTCCTGCAATGTCTGTTAGGTGAAGCAGCACATAATTACCCAGAAGCACTTGGGGCCTTTTCAAAGAACTACTGTCACATGAGCCACCTTTTAGTCCAGAGTTGAGCAAAATGCAGCCTGCAGGCTGCATACATGTTTTGGAGCTGGCACTGTATTCACTAGAGCCCACAAACTCCCCATTTCAGGGGAGGAAAAAAATCACAGAAAAATGGCAGATAACCACATAGAACTAGAGAGGAGCAGCCGCAATTTGCCTTGTAAAAGCTTTTGGGGACTAGAAATAGCTTTTTAAAGTGACCTTAAATTACATCCTCTTTCTACGAAAACCCCCTCCCCCCTTTTTGGAAGAAACTTGTAGGGAGGAATAACATTTAAGTGACAAGGGAAATCACACTCTAGAGTTTTTGGCAGGCCATAATTTGTTCTTTTCCACAGATTTTCCAGCCCCAGGATGGAAGGGGTCAAAGTATGTGAAGAGGAGTGTAGGACTAAGATTTTGGAGAAATGGCTCTCAAATCCTCTAAAGTTGCCCTGCTCTAATCTCTCTGGTTCACAGCATGTGGATCACCCAACAGAGCTTTGCTAACATAAAAAGTGGTGACTGTTTCAAGGAGATTGAAAATTATTACATAATGTAAGGAATCTACGTGTAATTCTAGATATATCTATTCAAATGTAAATCCTACTATGTTCAATGGAGTTTAGTCCTAAATAAATATGTATTGGACTGAAATCCAAGAGTGTTTAACTAATGAGTTGTGAATAGGTGGGCAATAGTAAGTAAAGCAAAATTATTTGTGTATAGCTGTAGTCATTACAAAATAAAGTTTAAATAGGATAAAATATCAAATATAGTATATGAATAAAACCATTCTAAAAACATTGTCATGTGAAACAGTTCAATCCTTAGTGAAAACATGATCATTATAACTACAAAACCTCTTTCTTTAAACCATTTCTCTAAAAGCAAAGCTGGCTGCCTTTTCAGAAATGTATGGTATCTTATCCCCCAATAGAAAATTTATCAAATATGCATCAGATCTATCAAATGTGAGATCTAACTCTTGGAACAAAGCTATTCTCTGATCTTTATATGATTGGGCAGTCAAAAATAGTGGTGCCTCGACTTACAAACTTCCTGACTTACGACCATTCCAAGTTATGACCAGCTCCGGCGCAAAATTTTGCTTCAACTTGCAGCTGGAGCTTCCAGTTACGAACAGAAAAAGTCAGGGAAAAAAGGCGGGAAATTCAAATTGCTAAGTGTTGGTGGCAAAGAGGCTGCTTCTTTGTAACTCTTTTGCCCCAGCAGTTAGAGTGAGTGCGATCAGAGGAGACTTCAGACCACCTGGTAAGGTAAGGTGATGTGTTCTGTTTTTTAAAAACTGTTCTGGGTGGGTTTTACAGCGTGGTTTTGGGCTGGGAGGGGGTTATGTCTCTGTGCTGCGATGGGTCTTGTGGGGTTTGTTTGTTTTTTTGGTTTCCCCCCATTTCCGATGGGTCTTGGGGGGTTGGTTGTTTTTTTGGGTTTTTTCCTCATTTCCGACGGGTTCTTTGGGGGGGGGTTGTTTGCTTTTTGGTTTGTTTTATTTGCATTTGCAATGGATCTTTCTTGCACACTTGATTGCTTTTTTGCTTTGTTTTATTTGCATTTGCAATGGGTCTTTCTTGCATGCTTGATTGCTTTTTGCTTTGTTTTCTTTGCATTTGCAATGAGTCTTTCTTGCATGCTTAATTGCTTTTTGCTTTGTTTCTTTGCATTTGCAATGGGTCTTGCATGCTTGATTGCTTCCCCCCACCTTCAGCCGGAACGGATTAATTGTGTTTCCGATGGGTCTTGCAGTGATTTTTTTGTGATTTTTTTCTTTGGCTGGAACGGACTGATTGCATTTCAGAGCATTTCAATGGGGAATAGTGCTTTGACTTAGAACCATTTCGAGTTACGACCGGAGTTCCGGAATCAATTAAGTTCATAAGTCAAGGCACCACTGTAGTGGGTTAGATCTTCAACTGTATTAGTTCCACATGGGCAAACTCTTTCCTCCAATGGAATCCATTGGTAACTTCCTTCAACCACTGCAGAACTCATACACTGGCAACATAATGCTGTAAAAGTGTTTCTCCATTTAAAATGTGATATATTAGTTAAATACTGTGGACGAGGTGTTTGAATAGGTAACTTAGTATACCAGGGTGCACATTTTGACAGACAGGCAGAAATATGGTCAGTTCGAAAATCATATTTTAAAATATGGGACTACAAGTATCGTGCTGTCATTTCTAAATTAAAAACATTTAAAAGATCATGAGAAAGACCATACATATCAATAATTTGTAAAATTTTCTGATTCTAAGATAAAATTGTCCTACTGTTAAAATTTAGCATCTCTTTAAAAGCAGCCAGTACTAGATCCTATCCCCTTTTTCAATCCTATCCCCTTTTTTTTCCGATCCTATCCCCTTTTTCAATTTCAGCCAGAATTTAATAGCATAGGTGTGTACTATAGCCTTCGCAGTGGAAAGGCCTACTTCCAACCGGAGAATACAAGTCTCAGTTCCTTTAGGAAGGCCTAGGATAGCTTGCAGATATTTATTCTGGGTTGTTTCTAGGTACATTTTCTGGGTGGACCCCCATATTTCAGCACTGTAGCATATCTGTGATATAACTTTGGCCTCGTAGATTTTAAGAGCAGGTGGGAACTGCCAGGTGGCAATATTAAACAAAACAAAAAGAAAAACAATTCTTACCGTATAAGATTTAGTGAAAGGTAGATTGTTACAATATAAAAGATGGAATGGAAATTCATATAAGGAAAGGTTTTTTGTGCGATAACAATTCCCATTGTAAGATAGATCATAATCTGAGCCAAAAATGTCAACATTGACCAGAACCTGTTTAAGAAAAAGCACATGTTAAATGATGACACCTGGGGAAGTGTTATAATTACTTATCACATGAAACATTAACTTATGTAGAGTATCTTCCATCTCTTTCCCATCTCCTACAAAGATACCTATTAGTAAAGTTTGGTCAACGATGCACTTGGGATTATATTTTGGACAAATTGAATAGGGAGACACTGGCCCATTTAAAAAAACAAACCCTGATATTCAGAGGTACATTGCCTTCAACATTAAAGTTAGCTAGTATTTACTATCTCTAATCTGCACTTGAGTGGCTTTGATGCAGGTTCTTCTCCATTTATGTTTAACTACACATTTCTGTCATGTCAGATAGGGTCAAAGTCAATGAAGATGCACTGTGAATGTTTGTACTTGCATTTCTATCCCACCTGTTCAATTCTAGATTCACTATTGGTAAATATTCTACTGTCTTTTACAGCAACTGGGTACTTCAAGTGTTAATTTGGCACTTGGAGAGGAAGGAAGGA